ACTGAATTCCCAATTTAGTTTCCTTACTCTTGCCCCCCCCCCCCAAGTAGATTTTGTAATTCCACTCAAATCATGGGCTTCTTTTCTCTCTAGATAAATTCACCGTTGCCTCTGACTGAACACTTAGTTTGCCCTTTTAAATAGTTGTGGAAATAAATTGTATGCTAGGCTAGTGTTCTACCACTGAGCAACATCTCCAGTTCCCTGAGTTTGCTTTGAATATCTGCATGGCAAAATTAATTCACTATATGGCACATTTTCTCTAAATAATGCAGGCCTCACCCCAGTCCTCCCTAGTCCTTGACAAAGCCACCTCTATCCTTTTGTTCCCCCCACAAAGGTCGAAGAAAAGTGGGTAGAGGAGGGGGGGACCAATTGTGGTGAGTGGGTGTGGCCTCAGGTAGTGGTTCAGGAATACTCAGCCAGAGCTCTTGAAAATCAGGGTTCGGGAATCAGTCCCTGAGCTGCTGAATCAGAATTTCTGGTGAAGCTGGTATGAAATAAGAGTTGAGTTTTTCATTTTATCAAATTCTCCAGGGGGGATGGAAAAGTCCCTGGAGAATGAAGGATTCAGGTGTTACATCCATCCTAGCAACCCTTACCTCACGAGAGGCCAGACCAGCTCTCAGAGCGCTAGGGTCAGAGGTCTAGGCCTTCTGTACGTATACACTGATGTCCAGACTCTGCTCTAAACACTGCGACACGGTATAGGACAGAAGTCCGTCAGCTATCCTCGCCCTGCCGGGGTGTTAGAAACGCAGCAGCTCACGAGATCCTTTAGATTTTAATAGCAGGTGCAAAGGCAGAATCTTTAAGAGACGTCGCATCCCATAACCTGTTTCTGCCAGAATGCCCCACGGGGGAGAAACGACCACAGTCTTGACCCGAGGGCTGTAGGGGCCAAGCGGGTGCAAGTGTGAGACTGGCAGCCCTAAGAGCAGTCTGACACCCCCTCTCTTGCCCTGGACCCTGGATTGCACTGTCACTGTCTTCCAGGCCGAAGTTGCGGGTGTAGCAGAGCGGCGTCCTGGCTCAGGCAGAGCAAAGAGAACTCAAGGGTTGGGGCCGGACGTGGGAGGCTTTTCCAGGAGGAATGCCTGAGATCTGGAGGGCTGGAAAATTTAAAGTGGGGAGGGGGCATTAGAAACGTCAACTGGCTCCTCCTCGCTCCAAACAAGGAAAACAAAAAAGCCTTCTGGGCTAAAAATACATATTTAGAATGTCCCGGTGCGCGGGCGGGCGGCGCGTTCCAGCTGCCGGCCTGGCCCTGGGAGGACTTGGCCGCGCAGCCGCCGATTACACCCAGCTCGGCTGGGATGGCTCCGAGCCGTCTGCCCTGACGTCAGCGAGGCTCCGGGTCCCGCCGCGGCGAGATAGGCAAGCGCGGCCGGGCGCGGGCGCGGCACTAATCACTCCCAGATGGCCCTAATAGCGGAGATAAAGACGGACGGAGCAGCCGGGAATAAATTTGTAATCAAGGCTCTACCATCTGATCATCAAAGCGACCCAAATGCCAGGAGAATATGGAGGAAATGTGCGTGTAGGGGGTTGCGTTTTGGGGAAAAGAGGGGGCGCGCTCTTAAATGGAACTGACTTGGGCAGGGTGTAGTAACTAGAATGGGGAGATAAATTTAAACTTCTGTGCACAGATTTAAACGTCTGTAACTCAGATTCTCGGTGTACTTTAACTTCCTTTAGCCCGACAGGCCGAAACCGCTTAGCGGTTACAAGCTAATTGGAACTGGACAGTTGGGGTGCGGGGAGTACGCATTGAGGCACCCGCTGGATGGTAAGGCAGAGTGCTTAGAACTCCCCGGCTCCGGAAACGTGGGGTTGGTTTCCTCTGCGGAGAGGTCCCCTCCCCGCTTTTGAAAGAGTTAACCCATAATCTCTACAGCAGCAATTCACTGTTCCGCGCAGCTTTCGGGGGAGAGGGCTGCTGGCCTCCAGTGGGTTTATGTGCCCTTGTCTAAGGGAGGCTTCTAGGTTTTCTCTCCTCAGACAGAAGGGAGGGCTTGAACAGGACCAGAGTTGGTAGTGTCCGGGAGACTCGTTAGCGCCCCCTCCTTGCAAGGAGATCTGAATTTTAGGAAACAGGTTCCTAAGATCCAGAATAGATGGGCATTTCTCAGGGTCCAGATTCAGTCCTCTGTGGGGATCGCCACAAGCTTTCTTCCAGACCACCTCTGCTTGGCATCCACAAGCCAGTCCCTTTTCTAACCTCTGGTGCGTGGTGGGACTCACGCACAAGGAGAGGTAGGGAAACCGCAAGGCAGCTGTGGGAGAGAAAACTGTAAGCCGAGCAGGCAAGGTTAGAAACAGCTATTGGTTAAAGTTCCAGGAATAATAGCGGTTTCTCTCGTTTTGTAGACCCGCTTTGCAAATGTAATCTTGGCTTTCATGGCATCCTTTGCTGCCTACTGTCCCTTGCACTCACACAGGCCCTCCCAAATGGCCAAGGTTTTCTCTGTAAAGCAATAGTCCTAGAAAGTGTCCTGAGGCCTCCTTCTGTTCCCTGTCTTTGCATTTGAACTCATCTTCCACACCTCTTTCCTGAGAATTCTGAGGGTGCCCAACTCTTACTCTTTGGCTACCTTAACACCTTTGAGAGACTAGGTCCTCCATTCTTGTCAGCTGGAGGCAGCAGCCAGCAGTGTCCTAGGTAAAGGGATGGCATTGAGCCATCCTTTACTCCCACTCTGCACTCACTGTTTACCAAGGGTCCCAGAGGCTACTCTTGCTTTTTCACTGCTGCATCCATCTCATGGCTAAAACAACCAGGTCATTGGTTTCTCCTACACTTAATTAGAGCAATCTAAGGGAGACCTACCCTTGTTAGATGCTGCTGCCTGCTGTCAAACCCACCCCAAGCCTGGAGCTCCTCTCCCCCAGCTTCCAGAGTGTGGCTCTGGGATTTAGAAGGCAAGCAGAACCCTAAGAAATCTGGCTGCCATCTCAGAGTATGAGACTAAAAAAATCCCTGAAAACTGCTGTCAGTGTCCTGGCAAATTCCGGGAAAATTGAGACTGGGTGCAGGGAGTATAGTTGGGGCCCCACACTGTATTCTCAAGCTAAGAATGGGTCTGCAGAAACACACACACCCACTTCCATACAACCACAACAGGGAGCACTTGCCTGCTGGTGATTCAGGGTTATCAGGCTTTAGGCCTGTGCAGCGGTCTGGGGCCCAGGCCTGACAGCCAGATCTACCATCAATTTACCTTCCGCCTTTCCAGCTTCCCATTTAGCTTTTAACGTCAAATCCTACATTTTTGTCGGCTCCGGCCTGTCTAGAGTGCTTGTGATTTCGCTGCAGGAGTGATTGCTCTTAACAAAATGGCAGCAACCACATTATCCAAGCAATTAAAACAGAGGCCTTTTAGTCAGTCCCACAAGCAGAAGCTTGGAAACTTTTTTTTTTTTTTTAAACAAAGAAGAAAGGGAATTGAAAGAGAAAGAAGTGTGTAGAAGAGAAAAGCATGGAAGTGTAAAAGAAACCTGCCCCACGCACCACTCAATTTTCTGGGATGTTGACAACATGGGACAGGGACTTTGGGTAGCTGAGAGCATTGGGACGATTGTGATGTCTGTTGGCTGAGGTAAGGGATAATCTGGGGTGTCCTGTTGGTAGCAGTCAGGCAAGTTTGAGTGTGCCTCCAGTTAGGGGAAGCCTGAAACGTCAGGACAGCTGGAGTCTTCGGCTTGCTGCGGTATGAATCTGCTGTGTGTCTGGCCGGCTGGAATGGCAAAGAGGATAGGGTGTAAGGACTGGTGCTCTAGGCCAGAGAAAACAGAGGTTGGCAGGAGGGGGAGGAGATGGCAGTGCCTGGCCCAGCTAGATAGAGGCTGGGTATGGAAGGTGGGCTTAAAAGCATGTATATTGGCAGGCTGCTACATAGCAACGACTGTGCACCAGGGTCTTTGGTTCCCCTCTATTGGGTACTTAATAAATCGGGGGGGGGGGGAGGAAAGTGTGTTAAACCAGCAGAAGTGTGTTAAGGAAAGATCAGCTACCCAAAGCACTGACAGGCACACGTGCATGATGAAGATAATTCCTTTCTGGCTCATGTTTTTTAAAACCTCGCGGCCTCCACCACCGTTCACTTCATCATTTTGGTAGAATCCTTTCTTCCACCTCTAGGACCTGGAGATTTTCTCCTACGTGGATAAAAATAAAGATGCAGAAGGCAGCTGGAAGTGAGAGGGAGGGAGTCACTCAGTCAAACCGACAAGAATGGAGAGAGCAAACGAAAACTTGGGCGCCGCCTAACCCTCCCACCCCACCCTAGTGCTATAAACAAAGGCAAGTGTCTGTAAACACAGCCCCTCGCCCACCGGGTCGGCCCAGCGCCGGCTGACCTGAGGGGAGAAAGTTCAGATCGCTTTGGCCGAGTTGTTCTAACCCCTCGCCCTCGCGTTGTCAGCCGCCCGCAGAAGTCCGCAGAGCCACTCGCTCATCTTTCCCCCCGCGGCATTGGCGAATTCGCCCACGCCGGCCTCATGTGGCTGGCTTGCAAGCGACCGGGTCAGAGTAGGCACCAGCGAGGCGTGGGAACCCTTGGGATATCGCAGGAGGGTCTGTGCCCGCTGGCGAGGTGCGAACATCACCCGGAGGATGGGTTCCAAGATGGAAACCCTCTGGCAAGCCTCTCCGACACCAGATTTATATACGTGGCGCTTCATGAAACAAACCGCTTTTTAATATGTTTCACCTTTCTTCCCTCCTCCGGAGTCCCTCCCCCCTTCTCCTGCACCTCCTCCCCACAGGCTGCAGAGCCAGTGCTTTATGGCACCACAGTTTCTCTGGTTTCTAGAGCAGAGATTCAAGCTCCAGCCAAGCCCACGGGAAAAGGAGGCCGCAGGGACACTCTTCGGGGATATTACAGGACTCCTGGAGACCGAACCCCCCGACAGGGTGAAGTCCTGGGCTGCTGGTAGCCAGGGGAGGGTGCCGTTTGCTCTCTGCTGGGCTGCGGCCGGGAAGACTTCAGACACCGCAGTTAATATTGAGTTCCTTGTAGCTCCTTGTAAATCTAACCCACTCCTGGCCCCCCTTTAAATCTGTGGTCTTGTTCGCGATTTCTTACTTGACGTAAAATTCCTTGTTACCTAATCATAGATTTTTTTTTCAAAAGTCCCCCCCCACGCCCCCAATCTAGCTTGCCTAGAAGAGAAGCCTCTGATCTACAGACTAAAGCAAAACCGCCTCCTTTCTTTTTTTTCTTTCCCTTCCTTTTTCTCCCCTTGGATAAAAGCCCTATATTTTGAACGAAATGCCTTAGACTATTTCCTGCCGTTGCTATAACACCCGGGATTGTCCTTACACCTCCTCCCAGGAAAATGCGCCCCCCAAACACGAACCCAGGCCCCCACAAATGGCATCTGATAGATTTCAGGAAAACAAGACACCTTTCCACCTTCCCAGCCAACTGTAGCCATTCTCTGGCCCAGTGCCTCCTTCTAAAGATCACTCAGTGGTCTCCTGGGAGTAGGGGGTTGGTAGAGGGAAGAGTAAGTCACTGGGATAGAGCCCAGGCCCTTGGGCAGATTTCAGCAAGGAGCATCTCTTTAACAACACCTCCTCTGCCTCTAGGACCACAAGTCACCTTGATTGATTGGAATCACTGACTCTTTCAAATAAAGTTAGAGGCAATTATGATAATTTAGTTTACTTCTGAATATTTTAAATATTATGAAAACAAGTATAACAGCTTTGTTTTCAAAACTCTTCTGAGGTATCAACCATTAAAAGATTAGGGGTTTTGTAAAAAAAAAAACACACAGTGGTTTATTGAATACTTACAACGTTTACACCTTCAATATTAATTAAATTCCACTTAGTTTTAGAGGACGGAAGTGCACAAACAAGTAGCTGTTGGAAACATCTTTGAATAGGGAACACCACATATGAAACAACAGCACTAGATGCCAACCCCAACGGAAATGTTAGCGGCCCTGTTTTCTGCTTTGAAATAAAACTTTATAATCCCCAGGAATATTTATATCCAAAGGCCAAGTATTAAGAATACACTTCACACACGCACTAGTGTCCGCTGTCTTTATCTGGAAGGAGCTGGGTAGGCAAGGAGGGGGTAATGCTGGTGTCTACACAGCCAAGAGGGAACATTCACACACAGAGAATCTAGGAGTCGACGGGATCCCTTACCACGCAGGAGTGTCCTCTTCATATTAAAATACGGAATGCTTTTCTTCAGATATCCACTTTTTTTGGAGGGGGAGGTGGGGAGCGGATGCCTCAAAGGGGGCCAAAGAGAGGGGGAAGGAAATTGCACATAAATAAACCAGATGATCCAAATGCAAGAAGTCCTCGGAGCGCAGCCCGAGGGCTTGCCCGGAGTCCTGGGTCTGCTTCTGGCGCCTTGGACCCGACTCACTCGCTCTCTCCTCCTTCTCTTCTTCACTGCTTGAGCTCCAGGGCCCAGACGTGCTGTGGCCAGCCAGTCCGGCCTTTGGTTTTCTTGTCGTTGCTGCTCACTGTGCTTTTCAAGATTTCATTCTGGGCAGAAAGGAGGTGGGCAAGAAAAATGAAAAGAGAAATTCAGAGAGGATAACGGATCCCCCGCCACCCTAGCGCTTCCTGGGTCAGAGGAAACAGTGAAAGAGAGGAGGAAAGGCTGGGGGTGGGAGTTGGGGGGATGGTTCCAAGTTCCAGTCCCTGCAGTAAGGTTATGAAGGTTTGCAATGCCCTGTCTACCGCCAAGGCCTCCAACTTGCAGCGCTCAACTACCGGATCGGCAAATTTATAAACAACCGTCCATTTTCCAGTCGTTTCTCACTCCAGATATGTGTGTGTGTGTGTGTGTGTGTGTGTGTGTGTGCGCGTGTGTTTGTAGGGGGTGGCAGCGGTGGTTGGCGCTAAGTCTATCTTCTGTTTTCAATAGCAATCCCAGATCCACGTTCTAGGAAAACTGGGGAGGCTACTCGGCCCTGGCCTGGGCCTCTGGTCCAGCAGCATTCAGTCTGCAGCTCTGCAGTGCCTCTCCGCCAAGGCCTCTGAAATCTCGGGTTATTCGAGAGGTCAATCGATTATGCAGCGATCAAAGGGCCGCTAGTCTCAAAGAAGAAAATCTCGCAAATGGAAATTATTTTTTCAGGACCTTCGTGGCAATAGCCCTGTCTACGCTATAAGAACTTGGTAGGAATCTGAGAAAACTTTAAGTGGTTCAGTGTAATTTCGAGTTACTGCTAGTAACAATGACCATAGTAATATTTACTTTTTTTTTTTGGTCTTAAAATGTACAGGCTCATAAAACTAGAAATAGTGGTAGAGTATACGGATCTGGGAAATTACATTGTAGCCAAAGAGAAACTGGAGCTGTATTTTGAGGTTAAAAGTACTTATTTAATGTTTACCTTTAAGTCTTAGGGGCATAATAATGGGAGCAACCATAAAACTTTCTTAAGGCTCAGAATCAGTGGCAAACTCGTTTTTGGACGAAGAAATGGAACCAATAGTGAAATGATTGTAATGGAGAGTTTCTGGGTGACTGACTTTAAAAATATCTTAAAGCAAGGTTGGATTGGAGGCCAAATGAGGGCTCTAACGGAAAGTGAATGAGAGGTCCTGACGGTGCGACTGGGAGATGGATCCGGACCAAGAGGTTGGGAGGCCCGTCCTAAGTGCCTAGGGGAGCAGCGATAACCCGGAGGGAAGATCAGAAGCACCAAGCGTCTCTCTTAAGACCTTCTCCTCCTCCAGCTGACATCCTCCCCCATCTCCTCTGCCTATGCAGGAAACCATCCCTACCACAAACTGGTGCAAACAACCTTGGCGCTGGATGCAGCCAAAGAATGCGGGCTGCCATTTCTCAGCCCAATTGGAAAGAAGCCGAGCGCAGCTGTTCCCTATACCCCGCACCCCCTACCGCCCTCTGCCCCACGGTACTGACCAGCTCCTTCTTCCTCTTCTCCTCTTTCACGTCTGTCTTCTTGATCTCTGCCTTGAAGGCCTCTGCCTCGCCGTTCTGGTCGTCCTTGGCCAGCAGGTCCATGAGGTAGGCGATGTAGCTGGTGGCCAGGCGCAGCGTCTTGATCTTGGAGAGTTTTGTGTCGGCGGGCACATTGGGGATGCATTCGCGCAGTTCGGCGAAGGCGCTGTTGATACTTTGAGTCCTGCGCCGCTCTTTGCGGTTGGCGGTGCCCCGGCGCTTCACCGGGCGCGGCCCCCCCAGGCCAGGAGGCCCCGCACCGGGCGGCACTCCCCCGTAATGGGAGTGGTCCAGACCGGCGGCGCCGCTGGCATACTCGGGGCTGTAGGACAGGGCCATGCTGTAGTCAGGGGGCGACATCTCGGGGTGGCCAATAAGCCAGCCATGGAAGTAGGGGTTCTCCTCGTGGCTGCAGCGGCTGGCGGCTGCAGCGGCGGCTGCGGCGGCAGCAGCGGCGAACGGATAGCCCTCATGGTGCACCACGGGGTGGTGAGGAAAACCCCCTACCAGACTCATTTCGCCCTCTGCACCCC